ATTTCCATTAATACCCCCTACCCAGCCAATACGTAACTTCACTTGGAACAACCACCCTGTAAACCAATAAGGATTCGATAACAATATGAGATCATAGAGAAACCGTACCCAACAAAACCAACAAAGTAATAACTATAATCCCCTCTTAAATAAATAATTAATTCTATATCGCCCTGTATTATTAACTTCATAAACTCCCTCATACCATCAATTATCAATACAATTCAGAATACAGTAACAATATTTTTTAATAACAATAACGTCTATACAAGCCCATAGAAATATATCATTAACAAATTGGAATGCAAATGGGATCACATCCAAAAAAATAGAACTTACTCAATATTTACACACATATAGCATAGACATCGCGTGCAGAAACGCGCCTAAACAATAGTAATAAATTTTACATTCCAGAATACAAAATTTATAGAAATGACAGGACCGAACAAAAAGGAGGTGGTGTACTTTTAGCAGTCAGAAATAATATAATCCACCATGAAATTAATATACCAAACATCGCAGGCATTGAATCAGTGGCAATAAGCCTAACAATGAATCATGGAATATAACTGCCTATATACCTCCATCAACAAAAATACAACCCCAAAATCTTCTTAATCTATTCATCCCAAACAAAAAAACATTAATACTAGGTGATCTAAACACACAAATGTCGACTTGCAATCAAACAGGAAAAATACTATCACAAATTATAAACAATACTACTGTCAATATACTATCGCCTCCTGAACAAACATTCTACCCAAGAGACGTAACTAAGCAACCAGACATCATTGACATTGGACTGACTGACGGCAATATAAATTTTTACTCAACTCCGTATCACGAACTCGACTCTGACCATCTTCCGGTAAATTTACTTACTCGACAAATCCCACCCGTGGTCCCCTCCCCAGCCGGCACAAAACAAACACACGTAAATTAAACTGGAATACAATTCCCAAAATATAACCAGCAATTTAAATAACCTAAAAATTAAAGTTGAAATAATTGCAATAGAATAGACAACGACGTAATATTACTAAACGCCAATAATTACATACAGCAAATAACAGAAACGCAAGCCCCAATACACAAAAACACATAACAAAATTTAATCATTCTGCCCTACCGTGCAGAATCAAAAAGATAATATTGCGTCAAAAACGGACCAGAAGACTATGGAACCAAACCAAAAACCCCACAAAATAGAAAAGCAGAACTAAATATATTAACATAATATAGTTAAAGAAATCAATAAAAACATCGATAATAAATCTCAAATTTCCAGAAGCAAGATACAATCTTTAAATGCACCAAAACAACTCTATTTGGAAATTCAACCAAACAAATATAAACAAAAGAAACAATAATACCACCATCAACTCACCGAAGCAAGTTAATTCACTCCCTAAACCGACAAGGCAGAGGTAATTGCCAATTACTTTGGAGTCGACTTTCACACATTCAATACCCAATCTCAACCGCTCCCCGATCAAAACACACAATATACAGTCCAATAAACCTCAAACTACGGCTCATATCAGCAAAATTCATTACACAAATCCTAAAGAAATAAAACAAATGCTCTCTCCCGATAAAAAAGACGCAGTCATAGATAAATATCATTTAATTCAAATACTAAAACATTTTACCCAGCCCCACGCAACTGCAAAATACTTAAATAATATATATAATTCTAGCTTCCATAGAGTATATCACATTGGTTATACCAGGTATTTTATCTATTATATATCATTTCATTTTCCACCACTTGGAAGATGCCATCTTCTTCCGGTTCCAAAACCAAATCCAAATATTCAGGCCAACACCGGACAGTTATCGGTCCGATACGCCTTCTATCTGATCTCTGGTCTAAAATTATTTCGAAAAAATTAAATACTTCCAAACGTCTTATCAAAGCACTCTAACAAATATCAAAAGGCCTATCGCGCAAGAGAGCAAGTTTGATTCACAGAGTCATGATAATCCACAGTAATCATCAACTCCCCTCATAAATACGAGAACATTCTCAACAACTGTAGTTGCAGTAAAACACATCATGACTTCATTATCTTCATATTGACTCTTCTTCGATCACGGCACCAGAAATCACTATGATCCCTTTTCTTTTCCACCACCGAGCTTTTTTCCTCCTTCCCTATTACCTCCACTCCACCCCCCTTTCTCCTCGTCCCCCACCCAACACTCTCCTTCCTCACACCACGCCCCCGCGTTACCGGTATGTGGCTCTTGATTTTGAGTTCCTGGCAAACAAAATATTAATCAGGATCCACTGGGGATGATTGCGTAAGATTACAGTGAGAGACAATAAGTCGTAATTCTCCTTAATTTTCTGTATACAAGTACCAACCAACATTCATAAAAACAAGAAATTGAATTCAGCGGGCATCAAGTAATTCACGACAAAAACATAAGTTTTCATAAAAATCAACGCATGCGTAGACCAAACTAGTTTCCAAATAGGGCAAGAATAGGACGAAGACGAACACAATTCACAAAAAAGGCCATTATCTTGGACTGCACATGGACCAAAAAAGTGAACTGGAAACGCCCATAAGATTATCAAAGTAATACAAACTAAAACAAATTACATTAATTTAAAAACTCTAATATATAAATAAATTATCATATCTAATATCAATTACCATAAAGAATTCACCTCGATCCCATCAATGCAACCACTCACCTACCTATCCCACATTTCTTTCTCAAATAATCGTACCCATATCCAAACCTTGTCCTTCATTCAAACTTTGCAAAACACCCGATCATTGCCATCCCACTCGCGATCATGAACAATAGGAGGGTCAAAAAAGTTTAACCAACACCTATCCACAAATCAGTTCTTGTAAATTAGTTTCCACAATCTCGGAATAGTTCTTATGCGGCTGCCCTAGAAGTGCGCATTTGTGCATCGTGTATATCTTCTGTTTGAATCCTCTGGTAATAGTTCAAATTGGCGGAAGAAATTTATAGGATAAATTGATTTAATATCCTTATAAGCCATGACAATACATATTTAAAGTTATTAAGGCGCATCCTTGAATTTCACTTTAATAGTTTAAAACAAATATAAACTTTTAAATAAATATAGTTATCAAGGTTAAATAACAACTAAAATTAAAAAATAAGAAAAAAAAAAAACTTGACAAGTACCAGAAAAGCGGAAACGACGGGCCAGTCTACAAGGAAAGACAACGCGGACAAGAGATGGTAATTCCCAAAGAAGAAGAATACCAAGGGAACAACAGCACCTCCAAATTTTAAGGCAAGTGAGGTTGACAGGGAACACGGACAAGCACAAGGACAGACGCCTTACGGCCACCGAGATAGATTGGTCTACGGAGAGGAAGAGATAAAGATCATGTACAAGTGGTTAGATATCCTGCGGACACATCAAAAAACTTTATTTTGTATTTGGGTGTATACAAGGTAAAAGAGTCACATTTAGAAAGATTGATTGAGCAAACAATTTCTCACGCGAATCGAAGAGTATCAGAGGAAACATCACGTTTCCGAATAGACGTTAAAACAAAGAGGAAGTGCAAATAACGTGGTACATATTTCCATTCATAATGAAGATGTCTTGAAAGAGAGGATTTTTATAATTCTTCGGATCAATCGCCAGCCACTCCTACAATAACATTCTTTACATTAAACCTATTACTGCCCATAAACTAGAAAAAGACTGGATCAGAATTTCTACGCAAATAACGCGCCGTACTCGCCTTGAATGCAAGGCGCCGAATTATAGTAGTGAACAGGGTAGAATGGTTCGATTCATTCTGATACAAGGTTAAAGACACACATTAAACAAGCAATTGATTGGTAAGGAAACAAACTCAAATCCATAGACGAATAGCTATTACCCGTATTTTGTAATGATGTAGTCAGAGGAAATAGTGTAAGAAAGCATAGAATAAAAAAAAAACATTGTTGAAAATATTGGATTTAATATAATAGTACGATAACCTTTGGTCTAAAAATGGAGGTAAAGCATGTTATTGCAACAATGGTAAACGCCAATATTACAATTAATTGTTCCCTGTTTACTATTATTAATACGCCCCCTTTGTTATCTAATGGACTGTATGAAAGGAGAGAGAAGAAGAATATTAATGTTACTTTTACGCCGGGTAGTTTATCATTTGCCCCTGTACAGTCAAAATAAATCGCAAATTTTCACACCACTCGTGAAACAGGAGCTTGACATGTGTTCAAAATGGCACAATCCCTGCGTGAAGCATAGACGGAAGGTGCCGGCGTCTGTGGCCGCACGGCCTCACTTGCTCCATGACTTTCAGATAAGCAACTTTTGCAGGTGTTATTAGCCCTTTATTTTTCTGCCTACGGACCCGACGACGCCGTGCCAATAAGAAGAGGCGGTGCCGATGAAGGGTCATCGAGATCATCGACTTTCGGATAGCCTAAAAACGCGGTCTTTCATTAAATCCTCAGCTTCAAAAAAGCGGTTTGGGGTAGTACTGAGTTATAAAAAATTGCAGATACGTGAAATGCGCGAGCTCCACTTTAAAAATAGACACGCTTTTTGTAAAAGAAATTGAGGAGCCGAGGATAATATACATGCCCACTGACATGATTAATGCCAACCCGAACCCATTTTCAATCCGTTTCCTTAGGTGATTAGGGCCTAGAGACCTCTACGGAGCAAAGCATTCTCATTTTCCCTCCGGAGATCTCACACGGGAGTTAATAATGGGAGGACCTATATATATACATCTGCAATTGGTGCACTTAATAGCAACCCTCCCGCGTCGTTCTTGTAAAATATAGCTTCACAATCACACACCAAGACACAAAGAAATAATGCCAAATTTCTTGGTTTTCTTTGCAATTTGCGCCTGGAAATACCTAGAGAATGAAAACAACATTATGTATCTACTGCACAAATGCCTGACCCGCTGGAAAAGTCATAATCTCTGCGCACTGAATTGTTCGCTAGAGACCGTGGGCTGTGGGCATGCGCCTCTCTCGACTCGCGGGTTGACGAAGATCCGGAGCTCCTCGGATGGTATTAGCATACTGAGTTTTCCAGGGAACGGGCTACGCGGCTTAACGCTGAGGTGAAGCCGGGCCGTCGTTCATGTTTTCCTGAAGCACATGTTAAACAAGCACAAGCGCCCATGAGCCAATTGTTTACGTTTAATTATTGTACAAAATTTAACTGACACCGATGTGTATTCCGTTTGCATGTTCAGTCTATGCAACTTACATATGGGATAAAAGTGCGCCAACGTATATAGCCTATGAGAACTGAATGACACGTGAAATACTTACTACAGTATATTTTTAGTATGACCTACGAAAGTAACAACTGTTTGCTACGAATGCTACAGATTTTTCTCGTTTCTGGTATTTTTGTTTGTTCTTGGCTAGCTTATTCGGAGTTGCAACATACTCTTGCCAGCTGCTAATCTATCGGCCAAGCCAGTCATACATGCCTTCCTGCCAATTAATATATATACTATATAGGTATATATATAATACTTATATATAATTTATTACATTTCTGAATTTCCGAAAAATTCAGAAAATGTAAATATATATATATATAATATATATATATATTATATATATATATATTTACATTTCTGAATTTTTCGGTTTTCTAATGAAAGAACCGAATTATTATTTTAAAGATAATAATGACAACTCAATGCCAATTCAACAATAGCAATTTCTTGTCCATATTATTCTTTCATTAAGATAATGTAAATGTTTTAAAACTTTAATTATAGTATTTTCCAGGCAATATTTGTGTGCATATGGGTGCAATTTAAAAAAATAACATAAACAATCTTCTTCGAGCGCTCGATCTTTATACGACAGAAAATAAACACAGCTCCAAATAACACAGAAAATATGCAGAAAAATTAGAACAACAATAAATAATAATTAACTACTATTTATATAACTCCATTTTACTGTTATTATAATAATAAACGTAATTGTTTTAAAAAATTTAAAATATCACAAAAAGAAAAGTGGACTGTAAAGAAAGTGATTACAATATATACAAGGAGAAGGTAGACCTATTGAAAGATCAGTACT